CACAGTATTTTAATATTCAGTCTTTCTCCTCTAGAAATCCTCATGCATTTTTATCAGCTGTTTTCAAGAGAACAGCTAAAGTGGCATAGAAAATAATTCTCCTTTTAAATTAAATGTTCTATAGGATGAATATCTAAAAACATTTCTGTGACATCTTATTTAACTGCCTCATAACAAGCTGTCTGTAACGATAACTACAGGAAGCTTTATGAAGGAAGGACAACCAAAGTTAAGAACAACTCTAGAGCTTTACCTCACTTGTGGTGCGGATGAGTCCTGACACCAGCCCACAGATCTGGTTGCCACGATTGCTGTATGCAGAAAGATCGATTTTTGGCAAGTCTTTGTGTCTGTAATTGGGATCGATCTGCTGGTTAAGCTGCAGCACTTCCTCCTGGATGGAATAAAGGCGCCGCAGTCTTTCCTGGCCCTCTTCCTTACGCAAACGCTCCAGCTCTTCCTGACGCTGCCTCTGCTGCTCCGCCTCACGCAGCTTTAGGTTTAACACCTGGGGAGAAAAAGACACAAGAGACACAAAATACTTCAATAATTTGAGCTTTACAGGTCCTTCCTGCTTCTTTAACATATGTGCCTTTACTGAATTTCCACAGCAACGCAACAGGTGTCTAAGGACAGCACCAGAAAATACATTCTCACTGTAGGGGTGCCATGTAAATACAAATAAATCAATTGGTCTTTCGAGCTCCCACTAAGTAGTCCCAGTCTTTTACGAAAGAAAAGTCTCAGACCTTTGCTCTGTGTCTGTGTTCTTCCTTCAACTTCTCCTGCTGTCCCTGAGCCTCCTTTGAGCTACAATACACATAAAGACAAAAAAACCGGATTCAAGACATGCACAAGACAAAATACAAACACACAGCAAGTTAATTTTAAAATAAGCCAAGCTAAAGGAACTTTAACTGCCCATAATACAGTTTTTTTCTAACCACTGAAACCTCCACAGTTTGATCTAGTTTGAAAAACAAAAAGTAACAGGATAGTTAATCTAAGAAAAGCAGCAGGTGAGACTGTCAAGCACAAGTGACTAGCATAGAATTGTCAGGCACAAGAATTAATGTCACTCTGATTAAATAATGGAATATTGAAAGAATACGAGAGTCAGTCTCACCTCTTCTCCATTACTTCTTGCAAATCTTGGAATTCCTGATGCTGCTTTAGCTCCTTCAGTTCATCAAAGCGCTTCAGTTGTTCACTTGCCAGGGCATACACTGCCCTCACCATCTGCTCTTGCTGCTCCTGCCGTTGCCTTAGCGCCTCCTGCAGATTGCAGTGGTGCCAGAAGCACCACAACGTAGTAATCACCAGAATTTGGACAGGAGAAAATACAAATGAAGTTGCCCAAAGCGGGCCAACATAGTGTACTTGGAGTTACTCTAAACCTTACTCTCTGAGGTTGAGGATAGCTCACCGCCCTGCTACTTTTACCAGAGCATTGTTACATCTGGTTATGCAGCTCTCCTGTGAGAGTGTGCGATTCACATGCACTCTCAACTTGGGTTTGGTTTTTTTTACCTTTCCTTTCAACCTGTGCATCTCTTCGTACATCCGAATGCAGCCTTCAACTTCTGTGACTTTAGATGGCAGAACTGCTGGAAAGGCTTCTTGACCCACTTCCAGTAGACTAAGATCATCATTTCCCTGTGTGGTCAGCATATAGGCAAAATCAGTGACTGAGTATAATGTCAGCAACTCACGGAGGAACCCAGATAAATCAAGTCTCCTAAACTGCACATTATTTGTTGAGAAACAGACAAAGGAGTCAACCAATGCACAAATTTTTAGAGTAGTTACATACCCCAGTAGTGTAAGCTCCAGAACCTATATAGGGTTGGGATAATTTCTTTTCCCAGTCACTAAAATTGGGAGCAGGGATACCAAGAGCCTATAGGACATTGACAAAGGCTGCCACATAGAAAGGCGAGACAGACTCCCCACAATCTCTTAATATTCAGTGAGATCTTACACTGGAAGAAGTCAAGGCAGGTTTATACTTTGAATCATTCTTCAGGAGGAATCTTCATACTCTCTTTGTTATAACTTTTATCAGATCTTGCTGCTTCATTAAGATGTCTTCCTCACAATATATTTCTTAAGTCTAAATGGGGCCAAGATGATGCAAAACTTTGTTGCTCAGTATCACTGTTCTGTGGTGAAGTCAGAATCTAATGCTGAACAGCAGACACTGGTTTTCTTTTCAGGTGCTTCATCAACTTCATTACCTCCACTCAACTGCTCACTGCTCAGCTTCCTACCCTTTTGCCTTGTAAAAGGGAGCCGTAACACATTTAAAGCATTCAGATCTCTGGAGAGCCCAAGGGGGTGCTCACGGACTCTTACAACAGGCCTGACCCTACTCTGTGACCTCACCCCTCCAAACGGATGAGCCCCCTACCGCTAATCCATAAAACCATACAGCTCCAGCTGAACATTCCTTTGTTATGGTGAAAAAAGGAGTTTGCTTTTGGCCTACAATAAAACACTATTCTAAGAAAATCTTGTTAATATCAACTTTATCATCACGTGTTTATCCTACATGGAGTTGAAACTAAGTGTGTTTTTTCCCCATAGCTTAACAGAGCACAACCCAGCCTTTATCAGACAATTTACTGCAGCAAGGTAGCACATTTTTTTTCTCACAGCTGCTCACACATGGACCATAATCAGAGAGCTACCTTTGTTTCACTTGCCTCTGCAGATGAAAGCGGTGAAGAGCCCTGGAGTCTAGCAGATGTGATCTTCTCCAGAGAAGATGACTGGTTTTTGATGGGAGTGGATTCTTTAGGCGTTGAATTTCCGGACGGTGAGATTTCTTGAGCTGATTGCCCAATCACTCTGTCTAGGACCCAGCCAGAATAAGGGGACAGCACAAGAGGAGACATGCATCCTTCCAGGACATCCTAGAAAGAAAACATTTCCTGTAAACGCAAAATCTATCAAGAAAGCAATGAAACATTAACAGACATTGAAAGCAGTTGCACAGGTCAGTGGGTGCTTTATAACTCCAGCTTAGTACCCCATTCACCCAGTTCTCCTGCTGTCTTTTCACCACTCTTCTAGGCTTTCCTACTTTTGCAGGACGGCAGAACCCCCACAGTTGAACCTCCTCCTGTAACACCTCCTCCCCAAACCCTGCACTAAGGAGCCGGTACAAAGGAGCCCGACCTGCAGGAAGGGGAGCAGAGGGAACCAGCCA